AATTATTTCCCAGAATGTCAAACTATTCCCTTAAAAACGATCAGAGGTGGAGATTGTGAAATCTGTCTCATATTTCCTTTCATCACAGATTTCAACGAATGAATAGCTCACATACAATTATCCTGAGAACAGCTACAACAACCAGTTGTTCAGCCATCCAACTGGCCTAGAGTCTAGTCCTGAGGTCCACAATCTGGAAGAGATGGACAAAGTACACAACTTCATTACTTGAGCCAAAGTACACTCCTGGTCAAATATGACTCTAATTCAAGTGAAGGTTGTTCAGTCAAAGTTTTACTTGAGTTAAAGTACAGGAGTACTTGCTTTTAAAAATACTTACCTAATAAATTTTTCAATGTCAATGGATAGTTGTACTGTTCCACAGTGGATTTACAGAACTGAATGACTGAAACGTGACTGAATGTAGAACCTGTGGAATACAGTAAAAAGCTTGTAGGATATGCTTCAAGCCATCAAAACACAATTGAATCATCAAAAGAACAGCTATTGCCATTTACGTATTTCTTTTTTTGGGGCAGTGATGAAGTTTGGTCATGGTTAAGACAGCAAACATTTAAAATGAAAGGAATCTTCATTTCTAAAATTTCAAACATGGATTTAAGATAAGGCCATGGGTGCTCCGGTGAAGAATCTTCTGCCTAATCTTTGTCTAATGTAGACATCTTTGGACCACTGCCAAGAGCTGTTCAAACATGCAGCAAGTACAATATGACTGACAGATTTGATTTTCTCCTGTGATAAACACAGTGCATGGTCTATCACATTTTCAAAATAAAAGACAATTTATTCCACTGATTAAAAGTCATGTTTCAAAGTAATGGGTGCTTCATAGAAGAGTTCTTCCTCAGAAGAAGAGTGGACCAAGCTACTGGAGCTCTCCCCTCTGTTTCAGCTGCTGAAGGTGGTGGAGCTGCAGCTGAAGGGCTGGGCCTTAGATTAAAAGTCAAAAGTTTCTAAAAAATAATACTCAAGTAAAGTACAGATACTTGAAAAATATACTTAAGTATAGTACTGAAGTAAATATTCTTTGTTACTGTCTCATGAAATTAAATATGAGTACTCTGATAAATCTATCCCACCGATGTTACAAATGATATAGAGACAGTCATGCTTCTTCACTACAGTGCTCTATTGAAGAAAAGATCAGTATGAAATGCTGCCTGCTCAGCATGTAACCATACTCTAATTCAAAACAGCTTTAAATCATCATAATAATCATTTACAGTTTGATGGATGCTCACAGCGATCTCTCCTTCTGCCTCACTCCAGGTCCTGATGGATCCCTGCGTGTCTGCCAGGCGTTTCATTATGATTCAGTCACAGGCCTCATAAGGCCAAACGCTCACACCCATATGCTGCTGAGCAGCTGCCACACCACAGCAGTGCCACCTAACTTCTTCCTCCACCCTCAGACTGGCCATGTTATGCCAATTGTTGGCAATGTGGCCTATGATCCTGCAACCTCTACTTTAGTGTTTATGACCGACCCATGTACAGGTAACATGAAAGGTGTTTGCGTGCTGTGAAGGTGCTAAATTGAGAGTGAGGAAAAAGCATGATCATGAAAGAAAAAAAACAAAAAACATCCCCATACTTGACCACACTTGACTTGTTCACATGTTTTATGCTCAGAAAACTGGAAGAAAAACCACACAGGCAATGGTTTAGTCAAAGATACAACAGGCTATGAAAAGCAGTAGCAATCTTTGGCTCTTTAAGAGATTAAGGAATGCAAGTGTCAAGGAGACATGAACTCACATGTACTGTCCCACAGTTACAATAGAAGACAATGTCATCTAAATATGTCCTGAGCAAATTGTGCTGGTTTCTACAAATCAATCATCCAACATAAAGTAATTGTGTGGTAATTCTTGATGGAAAATCGTCCATCATTGAACCCAAGATGATTATAATAATTTCGCTTTCATTTTTTGTGGGTTACTGAAGACCATTCAAGTAACAGTACGAGATATCAAAGTGGATGGAGTGAAAGTGGGAAAGTCACAGTATCTCTCCTTTAAAAAAACTATTGTGTGCCATTCTTTATCCCAGGTGACAACAGAAAGTGGGACAGTCCCCTTCTTCCTTTCATTCCTTACCCAACTTCCTGCCACTCAGACCAGCCTCTGCCCAGCACTCGGCTCAGAGGCCTCAGACCGGGCCAGAGACTGCAGCTGGGAGTTCCCATGGCAGACCCAGACACAGGGGTCCCGGTACCCATTCTGGCTGTGACCATCCACCCCCAGACTGGACTAGTCTACCCACTGGGAGGGGTGCATGTCTGCCCCATCACCCGCCTGCCTCAGCCCATACAGATTGGTTATCCTATGCTGGACCCCAGGACGGGGAACATTGTGCTCACAGTTGGGGTCAGTTTAGATCCAGCAACAGGTCAGTGCCGCTGGTGAGACTCCACTACATCCTGAGAGTGTTACTGCTATACCTTCAGTGAGTTAACCCTGCTCTCTATGCCTGCATAGGAACTGTGCTGCCAGTAGGTGGAGTCCTTTTGGCGGAGTCCTTCATTGAACCCCTGAGTGGGCGGATGGTGAGAGTAGGAGGGGCCAGCGTAAGGGTGGGACAAGTGGTGCCTAATGCAGGAGGATACCAAGCTTTACTAGACGGCAAAGTACTTGATCACACTAATACAAATTGGTTTGATTGCATTTAAAAAATAAGTAGGAGATTTTCCATAATATGTTGTGTGATAAAATATGACAAATCTCTCCTTTGGGGTGGCTCCAGCTTATATGTGGATATAAACTGTAGAGAGTAGAAAGTAGAAAGTTTTCCAACTTTCCAGAGAGCGAAAAAGCTTTTAAATACTCTGCCCCTTTCTCCTTAAAGAATGTTAAGAAGAAATTCAAGTCCGTTTTAAATTTTCTGGAAACTAACACTCTTGGTGAATGTGTTTTTTTTTTCTAAATGTATTGTTGTTTTATGCTGCCCATTTTAGCCAGAAAATGAAAAATGAAAAATGTTCTCAATCAGGTTCTGGCAGCGATGCTTAAAGTACTGGATCTCCTGAAGCCACTAACTGAGGAGTGGGGCTCGGATCCAACTTTGCAGCATCTGCAGTCCCATCCAGGCAGTGAGAGAGGGAGTGGCCGACAAGATCATCTTCTTGCTGCAACCAAGGAGCTGCAGCAGGCCTGGGGAAGGAGCCTGCACTGTCAGCTCCAGTTACAGACCAGGTTGCAGTTCTTGCTGGACTGGGCTGTGGGTCTCCAGGAAGATGGAGGGGCTGTGGGTGAGGAAATGCCAGGGAGCGAAATAGCGGATATGAGGAGCCTCTTGTGGGCACGACATCACAAACTGTCTTTTCTCCACTTCTGTCTCTCCGTGCTGTTATGGTCCTCTCCTCCCCCTCATCCTCCTCTTTGTTGCTGCTCTTTTTTTAGTTATCTATCTTCTCCTCTTGCATCAACTTTTGCAAGTGTCTGAGAGAAAATTATCCTAAATTGAGAAAATACTCGATATTTTCTTTCATCTTTTCATCCCATTTTGTAAAATCTCTGCTTGTCATCACCCTGCCATAAATCTGCTCATTGCTATGTAGAAAATAATGCAGCGTAGGTCTATTACTTTGTCTTTGCCTATGTTTGTTCTTTACAGCTTTTATTGTGATGTATGAAAAGAAACCCTAAAGTGAAAGCTTTTTTAAAGAAGGATAATTTAATATTTTTTCCACACAGCACAAAAGAAAATGCACAAACTTTGACTAACTTTTTGGCTCCTTCTAGATGTCGCAGTGTTTTCCTTAACTGCCCACTGCCACAAACAAAAGAGTTTTAGGCGTACATTGTTTTTTTTAAGTTTCAAACGGGCTTTAGAAAGAATTCATGGGCCTGAGGAGGATGACATTTTCTACCTCAAAGACTTAACTACCACCATACACAGAAACTAAGCATGCGACCTGTTTGTCCCACAAAAACCACATCATATTAGAACATGCACAAACTATCATTTCATAAAACAAAAATGTTGGGATAACACTGAACTGTTGTAGCTCAAAAATATCCAGATATTAAAACCTCTATCTCTAATTCCCAATCAAGGCGCTTGTGTTTACATTCCTTTTTATAGTGGTTTGAGCTCCTGACTCAATAATCAAATTATGTCTGCACCATCATCATGATGACAGGCTTATCATGCTTATCTCTGCATTTGTTCGCAGTGCAACACCACTGTGGCTACAATTCAGCTGTTGTGCTTGTATGCTTGTGTGTGCTCTTCTTGATAATCTGTTTCTTAGTTTTGCATCTTTGCCAGATGTGGCATGTAGTCACAATCCTGTTTCATGTACCTCACTCTGTGTATTTATTTTTGCATCTAATTTTGTTTAGATTTCATTTGATCTTAGTCAAAGGAGACACGAACAAACAGTATTAGCTTATTCTGTCACAAAAGTGAATGCAAAAACTGTCTTTTCTACACTGGTCAAAAAATGTCTCAATAGCCCTAATTCTGCTCTTTTCCAACTAGAAATGCATTAGACAAAAACATTCAGGAATACTTGAATAATTAAACATTTTAAGATCTTATAATATTTTTTTTGCTCCACTCTAATGTTCTGAATTTGTCTGTGTTATTCAAACCAGGAGAAATGCCTCTCTCAGGCTCCGATATGTGTGTGCCAGCTCTGCTGGGGATGGAGTACCCTGACCCCATGGGATCTGGTCTTAGTGTACCTGTGCTGGGATGCCAGACTGACCTCATCTCTGGGATTACAATACCCTTGGCAGGTACCATGGAGGACCCCGATGGAAAAGGTACAGTGAAAATCAAACAATTTCACAGGTCAGTAGTCACCTGACACAGTTTATCTAATCCACTTTCAAATTATAAAACAAGTTGTACCCCTTTTCTGTGTCTATGCTTTTGTACTTCACAGGCCTAGTGGCGATCCGTTATGGAGCTCAGACTGTTGACCCAGTGACAGGGGTATTGGCCCCAGTGGTTGGAGCTAGGCTGGATGCGTCCAGAAAAAACATTCTGCCTCTTACGGCTTCCTACTGGTTAACGGTGGCAGATCAAACTGATAGTGTGCAGGTGGGGGAGTAATTGAGAGAGGCTTTTCTCATACAAGAAATAATACATTTTTTTAACTTGATAAAAATGATTTCAGTCTTCATGTGTTTAGCCTTCAGCTTTTCGTTTTGCCCACTGAATGGAATTTTGTGTATCTGATGCACTTCCTTATGTTGTCGCCATTGTATGCCAGGTGGAGGCGCTGCAGAGAGAGTTGTGTGTGCGAAATATTTACTGGCAGCATCAGAGGCAGCGGGAGGAAGATCTCCTCTCTGATCTGGACTCAGCTCTTTCCCAGTGTCTCTTTAGAATCACAGAAGTTAACTCTTCTCAGGTCAGCAAGAGGAGTTGGAGGAGCTGTTTTGGTTTTAAATATCTTACAGAGCTTGGGCTCTGAGTGTAGCAAAAGGGGTTCCAAGGGGTTGAGCCTTTTAAACATGTGGAAATGAGGAATAAGGAGATATATGAATGTGGGGCAAACAGCATTGGGAAGTAATTCATGTTTTTCCTGCCATGCACTGAAAGTAGGCAAGTGGACAATCAGCTTTTTTTGTGCACAGCTGCAAAGTCACTGCACGTCAGTGTACAAGTATGTGCATGTATGTTTCCCATACCTTTGTTCCTTGAACTGAGAGTGTGTGAGTGGATGTTTCTTTTCGTGTGCCAGCATGCAAAATTGTACCTCCTACTTTTTGTGTTACTAGTGTAAGAGTGTACTCCACAGCAGGTCCAGTGGTCAGGGAGACAGCTGAGGGAAGCAGTGGTGGAGCTGCAGGAATCATCGCAGACCGAGGCCCAGAGGAGAACGGCTCAGCACTCCCACTTGGCTCTGATCCTGCCTCTATGTGTTTTACACATCCTCACACTGGGTAAATTGGCTGACAACCTGGAAAAAATGGAGACCACAAAAGGGAATTACAGTCATGGCCTGCACTGTGTTTATATTCCTCATATCAAGCCCTTTAGTTTTGCAGTAATGAACATAATTTCAGTGTTTCATATTTTATTTGGGTTGGCAGCATGTCTTTGTGCATCTGTGTCTTTGTGTATAGGTGACGAGGAGGAGTGGGATCAGCAGAATGTTTGGCACTCAGAGCTCTTGTCAGGCCTTGATAAGGTGGATGTGTGTATGGAGCAGCTGCAACAAGACCAAGATAAATGGACAACACAGGGAGGAGACTGGGCTACAACCCTGCATGCTATGGTCAGAATAATGGCTTTGTGTTTTATTAGTGGCCCTGTAGCTTAATTTTTTAATTGACATAGTTACGTTCCCAGATAGCAAAATAAAACTTCTGGCCCAACATATGGCTGGATCCTCGCCCAAGTCTGGCTCATATGCTTCCACATCTGGGTAGAGTCCGGCTGTTGACTCACATTTTACTCACAACCGGAAGATTTTCTGTGTGCTCACAAGAATTGGTCCAGATGTGGAATTGCTGGATGCCAGATTATTATTATTTTTACGTTGCATGCTCATTTCCCTCTCAGGACACCTATACCAAATGGACATGACTCATGATACAACTATGTGTTGTGAGATGCACGCTGTAACATTGTCGTCTAAATGTAAATAAGTCTTTATGTGTCCTCTTGCACACGCCTGTGTTTATGTGTCCTCCAGGGTAGACAGCTAAGACATAGAGACTTGTGGGAGCAGTGTTGTTCCAGACAGACAGAGCTTGAGGCTGCTCTTGGTGCGCTGCACTTTGTCAGACACCTTTCTCAGCTTCGCGCCGACACTGCTCAGGTTTAAAACACACACAGACACACTCACTACTGACACTGAATATAGATTTTGTCTGTCATCATCAACCCTGTTGCCATCAAGTTTGTTAAACCTCAGCTGAACAGTCGAAGCAAATGGTGCTTACTTGCATAACCATGATAGAGGGCTATCAACATGTTTGTCTTGGTTATCTCGGTGCTTCCAGTGTCATTTTCAAGCTACGTTTGTCTTCTTAACTGTATAGGCAGTATTATGTGGGAACTTTTGGTACAAGGAATTTGGTTTGGCTCAGTACCAAGAGCAGAGACAGCAGGTCATGGGTTTGATACAACAGAAGGTTCTGCCTCTGCTGGAGAGACTGAACCAGCTCCTGGAAGACAAACAGCCTGCCAGCTTCTTCACCAACACCTGCAATCAGCACATCTCAGGTACTGAATCAGTAATTGACAAGGACACTATGTTTACTACATTATATGGGTGCTAATATGTGGCTGGAAGCAAATATTTAGATATACAGTAGTCTACATATTGTTCTAAAGAAAGCAAAATTCCTAAGTGATAAATAGCATTATTTTGTAGTTAAACAAATGTTCTGCTTCTCTCTGTGTCAATGGATCTGTGAGTTTGAGTCGACATTTCCTGGTACTTTCACTCCATGTTAGTGGAGATAGATCTGAAGCCATATCTAAATTTTCCAACACATTTTGGTTTAAAGATAAGGATGTTGTTATTCTACATTTTTCTTCTTGTCAAAACATCTGATGAAAAGACAAAAACCAAGCCCCATAGTTTCTTCAAAAAATCTTAACATTTAAAAAGTAGTTTCAAATATATAATTCAATTTCTTAAAAAAAGGAAAACAAATCTTCCAAAAAGCTAAATACAACATTGGTGCTTTAGTTTGTACAGTAGTGGGACAGTGTAAACAGGATTGACTAAAAAATGAACTACAGAGCTCGTGTTCATCGTAATGAAAGGACATTTCACCCAGTCCAACACTGAGGTTTATTTATGCGTTTTCAATAGTTTTTGAAAAACAGTGGAGCTCTTTGGCACAGACAAAATAGCCACAGTATGTCAGGTTTGGACTTAACAAACAACATCTGTTAACAGGATCAATTTGTTGTTGGTCTTTTCGTGGGATTTGTTGACAATCAAAAAATATAGAATATTGCCAGACTTGTTCCTTTGAAAAAGCTATATTTAAGTTTTGCTATTGCTACATAGCCAACTTTAGGATTAGGTTTTACTAATCTAGAAGAAATGTTGTGAGTTCAGAATCAATCATCCCTTTACTTCCCAAGACATGTCTCCAGCAGTGGAAATCAACCCTCTTGGTTTGCTCTCTATTTCTTTTCTTGTACTGAAGTTAGCATGCTAACCAGCTAACTCCGACCTGGTTGGACTGTCTTGTCAATTTCCGATACTGAGTCACTGTAGCGTTCAGTCCGTCCTGAAGAAGTAGCGCTACTCAGAAGGCATATTCTAACGTCTTGTCTTGTAAGGGCAACGATGGCTGAAGCACTTGGAAAGACTGGTAAGTAAACAGCTGTTAATGCTAAAGTTGGCTATGTAACAATAGCAAAACTTACAAATACCTTCTTAAAGTTTGATTTCTGACATGTTTCAGGTTCGTCAACAAAGCAGGGATACGGGTTGGAGATAGCCTCTAGAGTCTGGACAGCCTCTATGCCTGTGGTGAAAGGTATGTGTTTTTCAAGTCCCTGTCCCTGTCTTCATGTCATTGTGATAACATGTTTGTATATGTATGTAGAAAGAGAGTGTTTACACAGGATTCCTAGAAATGTTGTGATTGTCAAAATGCAGCAGCATAGAGCAGTGAGAAGGGAACCTCTGTGTTGGCACAAATTCACTTAAAATTCAAATTTGTTATTGCTCCAGGATGTTTTTCTGTTTCTCTCCGTTCTGATTCTTTAATGTCTCTGGCGATTAGAGATGGAGGGGAAGGAAGAGATCAATGAAGTATCACATGATTATTATGATTCTGACTGACAAGTGTTGAAAATAATGTTGCTTATGCCAAAATGTAAAAATATACAGCAGGTATAGAGACCACTAGGGTGCAATACCTCAAAATAATGTATCTTGGGTCTTTAGAGAACTAACTTTACAAAACAAAACCTTGCATAGGAGATACTTTCGAATGAATTGGCTTGATCTCTGTTGTGACGTAATGAGCACCCCTGTTGTGAAAAGCAACTCCTGTCCATCTGGCATTATTCTAACCCTAACCCCAACCCTAGCCCTAACCAATTATCTGCCTAAACCTAGCTTTAAGTGGGTGCTTTTCACGACAGGGGTGCTTCTTTACTGCACAACATTCGCTGGCATGCAATGTTTACAGGGACAATTTGTGTTTCTGAAGGAAACTCCACCCAGTCTCTGAGAGAGCCTGTCAATTTAGTCCAATCCCAGGACACTGGTCTGCAGGCCAGCTCAGCACCAACACACAACTCGCAAAGACACACTGCATCATCTGGCATTCACTCCCAAGGTAAGGTGAAGCAGAGAATTACACAGACGGGTGACAAATTAAAGGAAAAATCTGAAAAATAAGTGGAGAAACAGGATGACAATGCCTCTGCCCATAAGGCACAAGGGGTCAATGAATGATTTGATGAGTATGGAAATGATGAAGCAACAGATCTCAACCCAATTCAACACATATGGGAGATTTTGGAACGCCGTGTCAGACAGCGCTCCCCACCACCATCATCAAAACACCAAATACCAAATACAACTTATTAAGACACTTTATGTTGGTTCTTCCTTTAATTTGTCACCCATCTGTCGCTCTGAATGTGAGACCCCTTCCACCTTGTGTTACCCTATGGTGTGCTCTGCTTCAGTGCTGTGTGTGAGCAAGCTATACTGTGCTTGCACATTCTCTGATAGACGCACGCACGCACGCACGCACGCACGCACACACGCACACACACACACACACACATTTGGAAAATATGCTTATTCTCTTTCTTGCTGAGAGTTAAATGATAGATTCCATCTGTTCATTATAAATGAAGGTACCGCCAGCAGCTGGTTAGCTTCACACAAAGACTGGAAACAGAACCTCCAAAGCTCTGCAACTTGTCATTTTTACCCTTTGGTTTTTGTATGGAGGCAACAAATGACATATGGTGAGTTTATTTAGTGAGCTTTGGAGTCATTGTGCAAAGATAAGTTAACTGCCTGGCTGTAGCTGCATATCGGACGGACAGATTTGAGAGTGGATTTTGTTAAAAGATGAGCAATCTGGGAATTATTTCCCAGAATGTCAAACTATTCCCTTAAAAACGATCAGAGGTGGAGATTGTGAAATCTGTCTCATATTTCCTTTCATCACAGATTTCAACGAATGAATAGCTCACATACAATTATCCTGAGAACAGCTACAACAACCAGTTGTTCAGCCATCCAACTGGCCTAGAGTCTAGTCCTGAGGTCCACAATCTGGAAGAGATGGACAAAGTACACAACTTCATTACTTGAGCCAAAGTACACTCCTGGTCAAATATGACTCTAATTCAAGTGAAGGTTGTTCAGTCAAAGTTTTACTTGAGTTAAAGTACAGGAGTACTTGCTTTTAAAAATACTTACCTAATAAATTTTTCAATGTCAATGGATAGTTGTACTGTTCCACAGTGGATTTACAGAACTGAATGACTGAAACGTGACTGAATGTAGAACCTGTGGAATACAGTAAAAAGCTTGTAGGATATGCTTCAAGCCATCAAAACACAATTGAATCATCAAAAGAACAGCTATTGCCATTTACGTATTTCTTTTTTTGGGGCAGTGATGAAGTTTGGTCATGGTTAAGACAGCAAACATTTAAAATGAAAACAAATACCAAATTCAAACATGGACTTAAGATAAGGCCATGGGTGCTCCAGTGAAGAATCTTCTGCCTAATCTTTGTCTAATGTAGACATCTTTGGACCACTGCCAAGAGCTGTTCAAACATGCAGCAAGTACAATATGACTGACAGATTTGATTTTCTCCTGTGATAAACACAGTGCATGGTCTATCACATTTTCAAAATAAAAGACAATTTATTCCACTGATTAAAAGTCATGTTTCAAAGTAATGAGTACTTCATAGAAATAT